ATTTTATTCACTTTAGAATTTCTAATTATATATATATATAATTATATGTACCTGTATACGTTGCTTAAATTAAAATAGAGGTTGCATTAATTAATTTTTTATTTTTATTCAAACCTATTTATATAATCCATTCTATCTTATCTTCTGCATTGTCTGTATACGTTGCTTAAATTAAACTAGAGGTTGCATTAATTAATTTTTTACTTTTTTTCAAACCTATTTATATAATCCATTTTATCTTATCTTCTGCATTGTCTATCAATGCTTGATTGAATACCATAATTTTGTTTTTCTTCTTCGCAATTCTTCTAATTAATGTAGAATTTGTTTTGCATATTGTCGAATTTTATTTATTTATGAAGAGCTAGTCTAATTTTTGCAGCAATTATGTGTGTGTATGTATATACAAAATGATCCTGTGATATACTTGAATTTGAAATGTATCACGCTTGTTGCCTGTAAAATAAATGAATCTTCTTTATTGTGTTTGATTTGCTCTCTGGGGATAAATCCACAACATTTTTCAAGCAGCTTATTAATTTTACAATATCATCTTGTTTGCATAAAACCTTAATCAATCTGTTTTAGATTCCATAAGATCCTTATGGATATAAATACAAAAATCCTTAAAAAGAACAAAAAACACAAATTTATGTAACAGCATATCAAAAATTCTAGATTGGTCCTTCGTGGACGAAACATGTAAGATTAAGAGAGGTAAAAATAAATGATTCTTATGTACTTGAACTTATACTAGAACATATACCTTGCAGTAATGAAGATCTCAAAAGCTTGTGCATGATATACTTTTTTATAATTAAAAAAAAAAAAAAATTTATAAACTGGGTGGATAGTAAAAGAGATCAGATATTTGTAGTTCATAGAAGTTGCTCCCTAATTAATTTGAATTGAGGAAAAATTTAAAAAAGTTAAATTAACAAGTTACGGAGTTTTCGACTAAAAAAATGCATGGTATATAATTTGTTGAAATGCAGGATACTTACCCTTGAAACTTTTTTCTGATTATATCAGGAAACTAATAGTTATATCACTTAAAAAAAACTGAAAAAAAAAAAAACATATTTTGGCTGCAAGAAAAACAAATTCAATGCATTGTTTGATACATCTTTTAGACTAGTAATAATGTTTGATGCAAATGTTGACATGATTTGTAGAAGAGAATAATATTACTGGATGCATATATTTTTTTTACTGCCAAGAAAGGAAGAGTTACTGCATGCAAACATTTGTACTGCCCCACAGTTGAGTGGGGTGGTAAAGAATGTCACTTCAGGAGTTTTGGTTTGTTTCACAAAAATGGCTAACGTTGTTTGCTTTTTCACCATTTACACTATGGGAAAATAAGGGGCCTCTCGCTACCGTTGATTCTCATTCAGATCTCATCATGTCCCTTTTCCACGGATCTCATTCACACACATATATATATATACAAAAACACACATGTGTGTATCTATGACAAATTTTTGTGTGATGCAACATCATGTCGACTTGTTATAATTTCTATTTATATTGTGAAATGTCATGTTTATGCTTTTAAGTTGTTTTTAAGGAATTTGTGGTTCAACTCCAGTGGTTTTAACTGTGAAGATTTTCACTCCATGCATATCACGTTTTTACTAAATTTGTGCACATTTGTGTTTTATCATTTCTTTTACAAGGAAAACATTGCACAACTCAAATCACCATACATTAATTTCCCCAATTTTCAAGAAGATGATTTAGGGATTCGTAGAATGCACCAACGAATGCATTAAACATGAACCCATCTAGTGCTGTGTGCTAATTTTACGAAATTATGTGAAGCCGACTGATAGTTAGACTGATCGATCTTTCATACTTCTTGAATAAGAATACATATTTACGGTAACACAAACCCCACCATGCAAAATTTGAATAAGAATACATACTTTTTGATTGTTTTTTGGATAGGTTCGATATTTTGCGGTTCAGAACCACACCGAACTACACTATTAATCACCCCTCTTGATATAACCTCAACAATCATTTGAAAGAACACGAAACACAGAAAATTATTCATGACAATAAACTGTAGCCTGACTTTAAGGGAAGGGTAGATGAATGTTTGCAATTGGTGTACAGTAGATTTGTACGCATATGTTTACTCGACTAAGAAAGGAGATTCTTGCATGTATATGGTACAACTATAGTCAGAACTGAGTAATGATGTATGCTTTAGTTTTATGTTTTATTCTTTAATCTTATAATTCTGTTTAATGAACTATTAAGTAAATTGTTTATTGCAAACATACAAGTGGTGAATAAGAATTAAAGAAAGCGTCGAATTTATATGTTTTCGACACTAATATATGAATCTATTCTAAATCCAAATTTTACTCACATGTTTCCTAACTTGTGTTACTGAATCAACATACATACTGTGAAAAAATTAGAGATTTAGTGCTGTAACTTACACCTACTTGAGAAATAGTCCGGTGATGGCGATAACTTTATAAAACACCCTATAACT